AAGTATTTGTGCCGATCCGTATTTTATATCTGATATTTTCATCCGACTTTTTAAAATAAAAATGATTTTTTTTTCTATTTTAAGGTAAGCCGATTTACTGAAAATCCCCGACTTGCTAACTATGATTAGAACCACTCTAAGGTCTAGATCCTTAGACCACTTCGCTTGCACAATCTACGCAAAAGCCAAGCAGTCAAGGTTTGGAACCTCGGTTCGGTTCCTCCACTTCAAAAAAAATATATTAAAATAAAAAATATAAAAAAGCCATCCAATGTTTGGAACAAATTTTTGAAGAGAAAAATTGATAGAAAAAAAAAAGGTGGCAAAAAACATAGCAGTCCAATGTTTAGGATATAGGACTGGTGGACCTCCTGGTAAATTTTAATAAATTTTAGACCCCCGAATAATTACCGTATTTAAATATGGTACAATGTTAATTTTTCTTTTCTTTATAATTATTTGGGAATGATCCTGTCGTATTATTTCATGCCTATGATCCTATATTTCTATAATATCTTTCTTGTTAGATTTATCCGAGTGTTTTGAAGAATATTTAATAGAATTAAAAAAAAAGTTGAATCTTTCAGAAGAAATGACACTGAGAAATTCTTAAGAACAAGATTCAGCATATACTTTTATTTTTTGGATGCCAATAAAAAGTTTCTCTTACCCCAAAAGTTACATAGCAATTACAATGAGGACAAGGGCTCCGTAGTGGATTTTCTTTGAAGCTTTGCCTATCGAAAGTTAAAACTCACATGGTCTCAAAGGGAACACGACAACTAGATGTGAGATCTTCTTTTCACTTTATCATCAATCAGGAGTCATCCTCTCAATGTAGTAAGAGAGAGCACCTTATCAACAATCAGCAGTCATCCTCTGAATGGGGAGAGAGAGAGGAGTCATCCTCTCAATGGTGTGGGAGAGAGAGAGACGCAACCTTTGCAGACATTATAAAAGACAGTATACAAAGTAACAAACACACAGGAATTACACACGTTTCTTTTATTAAATACAAGCATACTTTAAAAAACTCGACAAAACATGGGGATTGCAAGAAACGTATTTTAGGAAACACAGTGAAGAATCATAAGGGGTCTCACTTTAGTTGTGAACATAGAGATTATGTACTCAAAATTTGGTTGAAAGTAACGTCTTTCAAGTAAAGAATATGTTTTAAGGCTCACAAAAGGAAGAGGTGCACCCAAATCCCAGCTCCCCGACAGTCGTGGATTTTGAAAACTGGGGATTGTATACAATGAGATCATTTTATTTTTTATACAAAGAAGTCACAATTACTTACAACCATCTGATGTGAATTTTAATAGCCTGATGTGCTACAAAGTTCGAAAAACTTTCTTTTAAAGTTTGAACTCTGTCAATAGAACAAATACATCCACTTAATTTCACAAATAAATGGTCTCATATGTTATGGACCTTCCATTTTCAAGTGTTTACAAATCCAGTGCTTTAAGTTGCATAATCAGGAGTCAAAATAGATTTTCAAGCCATATGACAAATATTTTCAAGGCCAAAACTACATTTCATAGGAATACAATGTTAGTCATGGTTTTATGCTATAATTTCATCAAAAATTGATTCAATTAATAAACAAAGAGCATTACAAAATTATGGTAATGAGAGCAAAAGAATATATCCCTTCCGAAAACCTTTGGCTTGGGCTCATGTTTCAAACACGTGTGGTTGGTCAATCTTAGGTTCCTTTCAACAATAAAAACGAAAAAGACGTAGACAAAAGGTTAAAAGGGCTGCCTGCATGTTCATGGAATCCAAAATCTAGGGTTTCGAAAAAACTAGGGCTTTTTCAACTTGAAAGGTTCATGGAATTCACCTCTTTTGTCAAACCCTAAAAACCATATATTAGGATTTCCTAGGTCATGGGGGGTGGCCACCAAACCCTAAAACCCTTTCCACACCAAAAGAAAACCCTAAAGCTGTTAAAAGAGAGAGACACGTCCCATCACCACGTATTCCTTGCCTTATCCAATCCCCAACAACCTTTATCACCATCAACGAAGCAACCTCGATCTCCATCAATGACCACATTACCCCCTCCAATATTTAACATTTATTTTGTTTTTTTCGATGAGCCCCCTACCCTGATAAATATTGAGCCTCAAACCATCAAGCAACCGATTTAGCCCGACCACTTATTCAACAAATTATTACACCCTTTCCCTCCCCAACTATCTGTTCACCCTTGTCTCTCTCTCATTCGCTCTTTGTTTGCTTTCTCATTCTGCTCCACATGGGAAAAAGTGAAAAGGCCCCTTTTTGTATTAAGAATAATATAAAAATAACAAATCTACAAAGTAAATCCTCGTTAAGGCTGGCAACAAGGCCAAGCCAGCCCTAGCCTTGCTCGGCCCTAGTAACTCGAGGGCTAGTTTGGCTTCGGGACCAGGCCAAAGAGGCCCGAGCTTTAAACTAAGCCGAAGAGGCCCGAGCCCAATCAAGATCAAGCCGGGCCTCGTTAGAAAAAAAAAACAAAAAACAAAAATAAGGATAAAAACTGGGCCTAACAGGGATAGGCTAACAAGCCCTTGCGTGGCCCTAGCCCAACCCTCAAGCCACCAGTTCTAGTTTTTCAATGCCAGACTTCCACCCCCTAAAAAAAAGTTTAAGGTATTTAATTAGATCCCAAGAAATGATGACAGTTATAACATAAATCTCTCTCTCTCTCAAAAGCTAGCACGTGCAATGCACGATAAAAACCTTAAAAAGAGAAAAGAAGTGAGACAATAAAGGCAGGTATTATATGAGAGAATTTATGTAGAGAAGGTTTTCTATGAGTAGAGGATGTATGCATCCCCTCACCGTGGAACATCCTTCTTTAAGGTGGAAATTGAGAAAGGATGCACTTTCTATAAGGCCTAGGCGTAGGGCCTCGCATCAAATCCATGTCGGTATAGAAATTTTCTTGGCGGCTCTAAAATCAATTTTCAAAGCCAATTATGAAATTTGAAGCTCAAAAAATAATACAAATTTTATAGATCAATGAACCCTTACACTATTTTTAAGGCTTAAAATCGTAATTTTTTCACAATGGTAATTATAATGGTCAAGGCTAAGATGATCGAATTGAGGGTGTTCCAGAACTACCATCTTTGGTGAGTTTGAAGTCATTAAGGAAAGGGCACCAACGCAAAATATGAAATAGACATTGCAAAAGAATTAAAACAAATTACTTTAGTATTTTATTTTTTTTCTTCATATTCATTATTATATGGCGTAGATCATGAATATCCAAAAATTTGGACCCAAAATCCATCTTTAACATGGAGGTTAGAGGGGGAGTGCTTTCATGTGAAGAGTCAACTAAGTCATGGAAACCCCATCCATTTATGTATGGATGGGGTTTATATGAAGCAACAACCTTACTTAGCAACGTTACTTATAGAAATAATGTTACAGTATTTTACACCATACATTTTAGTTTGATGGTATGAATTTAATATGTTTTTTGGACCGTTTCAAAAATTGACATGTTTTTTAAGAAGGTGCCAAATTTACCCCGTCCAATTAAAATTTATGAAATAGATTACTACAACTTCGCTTGTATATGATGCATATATAAAACCGTTGTTACAAACTGTCCATCTCAGCCAACAAGAGTGACGCATTCTCTCGTTCTGACAACAAAAATCACACAAAAGGAACGAGAGAAAGACATCAAAAGGGAAAATTCATAGACGGTGCCGAGGTAGTTAGCGTGGCAGGTGCCACAAAATGACGTCTAAAACTCCACTCTCACCAAGTTCCGAGAGAAGTTAAAATAGATGTTTCAAAAAATGAACTCAAGAAGAATGACATTTCTAAAGAAGACAAAGGAGGAAAATGAAGAACAAAATATAAAAGATGACTAAAATAGAAAATTGGGGAATAATAAAAATTTAGAAAATACCAAAAGCATAATAAAATTGAAACTAGAAATCGACATATAAGAAATTTTAAGAAATTTAAAAAAATAAGAAAAATTAGGAACATTAAGAAAAAGAAATGCAGAGTATAGTTGAATCAACTTGAATACAAAAGGGAAAGAAACACTAAGCATTACCAACTTCCTGGAATAGGACCAATTAGGTTTCAAACTTTCAATCATACATGAAAGAAGAAAAAATCAAGGAAAATATAAAATCAAGATATAGAGCGAAAAGGAAAAACAAAAACGAATAGCACCAAAAGAAGATTAAATCAAAGTGATGCAAAAGAATAAGGGGAATGATTTCATGCAACAAAGGACCCACATACAAAATATAATAATGCCCTTACAAGTATTATTAAAAATTTAAAAGAAAAAAATAAAAAGCTTTGCCATTGTCCTATCGAATCTAAATCGCTTCTCAAGTGAACTCAAAATCTGACCATCTATCCAAATGAATAAGGCGGGATGGAGGGTAGGCATGGAAACAGGCCGACCCAGTCCCAGCCGAAGCCCCGCCTTGATTCCCATAGGGCTGGCCCAGCCCAGCCCAACCCAACTAACAGGGCCAAAGGCATTGGCCTAGGGCCGGCCTTGGCCCTATCCAAGCCAGGTCTGGCCATATGCAAAAGCTGACAAAATAAAAATAAAATATAAAAAACGAAAGGGCCAAACTGAGCTGGCCCACGCGGAGCCTAGACCAACTTCTCGAGCTATTGTAGCCCGGTCCTCAGGCTTGGCCCAAGCCCTAATTTTATGGGGCCAGGTCACCCGGCACCGTCCTTCTAAACTACAGATGGCATGACACGTGTCAAAGAACAAGAGTCACATCACTAAACTATTTAATCGTACTCTCTTTAAAATAAACTCATTTTGCATCACTATTTGGTCAATGATCGAGGGTAAATCGGTAAAATTCCCTTCAAACATCAAAGTTGGCGTCCCACTCAAGATAACATTAGGCCAAAAAAAAAAGGGGAAAAGGATGGGAGAAACTTAAAGAGTATATAAACAAGTGACTTGCAGCCACAAATGACCAAAACACAAACCAACACGACACAACCAAGGCAAGGCAAAATAGTGACATTCTCCAAACAAGCAAAGAAAGGCAAAGGATTCCCAAGTTTTCCCTCCTCCACTTCCAAACTTGGGCATAAAAAGTCTCCCTCAAACTTCCATTTCCATGGCTGCCATAACCCCTGTGCTCTTCTCTCTCTTTCTCATCCTTGCAGGTACTCAAACTGCATTCATTCTTGTAATCTTATTAGCATTTGGATGTCATGTGTTATGTTGATTCATTCATTTTCCTTTTAGCATTTGGGTTTTTAGAAGTTAGTTGTGATGAGTTATGTTTCTCCTTAGCTCTCTCTCTCTCTCTCACAAGCCTTCATACATGCATTCTTCTCTCTCTCTCTCTCTCTCTCTCTCTTCTAAAATCCTTCATACATTTGCTCATCTAAACCACATTAGCAATTCAGTTTATTGTTTTATGTGCATTCATTCATTTTATTGTAATCCATCGAATGAAATGCATTTTATCTTTCTATCTCATCTTTTCATGGGCTAACCTTCATCCATTCCTACATCCTTGTAAATCCCATCAACATTAGCATCATGTGCCATCTTCATACATTCATCAGTGCTTTTATTTGAGTTAATTATTTCCCAATGGATGCCTGATCCTATTTTCCTCTGTTTATGAAGGTTTTTCATATCAAGAAGGAGCAACAGCCTTGGGAATCAACTATGGCCAAGTAGCCAACAACTTGCCATCACCAAACCAAGTAGTGTCCCTCTTAAACTTCCTCAAGATTAGCAAGGCAAAGATCTATGACACTAACCCTCAAGTCCTCACCGCCTTCTCGAACACAGGCATCGACCTAATCGTCACACTCGAGAACGAACTCCTTTGGACCATGGCCGACCCTGAACAAGCCATCCAATGGGTCTCAACACACATCAAGCCTTACGTACCGAGCACCAAAATCTCTGGAATTTTGATAGGAAATGAGATTTTCACGAATGGAGACCCTACCCTAATGGCTAACTTGGTGCCAGCCATGGTAGGTATTCGCAATGCCTTAGCCCGCTTGGACCTGGCCTCTAGTATCTGGGTCTCTACAGATCATTCCCTAGCAGTACTGGGAAGCTCATATCCCCCCTCTTCAGGATTTTTCCGACAAGACCTAGTCGGATTAATGACACCATTGTTGGAATTCTTGGCTGCAACAAATGCACCATTTTGGATCAATGCCTACCCTTATTTTGCCTATAAGGACGACCCATCAAGAATTTCTCTAGAATATGCCTTGTTTGAGCCTAACCCAGGAATGTACGACCCATACACCAAAATTTTCTATGACAACATGCTCTATGCACAAGTGGATGCTGCCATTTTTGCTCTCTCCAAGTTGGGTTTTGGAGGTTTGGAAGTTAGGGTTTCAGAGACTGGGTGGCCTTCCAAGGGGGACCAGAATGAAGCCGGTGCAACTTTGCAAAATGCCCAGACTTACAATAGGAACTTGTTGCAGAGGCAATTACACAATGAGGGAACCCCATTGAAGCCTAAACAAAGGTTGGAGATCTACTTATTTGCCTTGTTTAATGAGAATTTGAAGCCCGGTCCAACCTCTGAGAGAAACTATGGGATTTACCAGCCTGATGGAACCATGGCTTATAATGTGGGGCTTACCTCTTTAGAAACTTCTTCAGCTGCTTCTGCTTCCTCTGATGCCTTAGCCTCTAATGCCACCAAGGTAAATGGGACTCCTTCACTACAGTGATCAGAAAACTTTAAAGAAATTGGTGCATGTTGCTCGATGGGGTAATCGGATTAATCACATGCCACCCCCATACATACATACATACATTTCATGTATATTGTTGGCCGAATTTGTAATAATTAAAGATCAAAAGAAATATTGACAAAGTTATACATGTCATCATCATCGTCAAAACCTTTTTCCAACTAATTGGAGGCGGCTAAGACAAAGTTATACATATATGTGTGAATGAATTGCTTGCATACATACACATGTAAATAGTAAATAAATTTGTTTGTATGCATGTAAGTATGAATGAGATAACATCATCTTGCAAACTTATGGATGACTTCTTGAAATTAATTTTTGGGGTTATGTGGATTGTGGAACAGGTAAGATGTGAGATTGGGAGCTTGGGGTTTTGGATTGCTGCATTGTTATTGTGTTTACAAGTTATGATGAGAAGGCAATTTTAGGGGCTTTAGAGGTACTTGGGGCATCATTGTTATGGACTTCTCTTAACCCAAACACTAATCCCTAAGACGCAACGAAGAATTTGATTGAAGGTGGAACTAACAATCCCAAATATGTGATGCTTGTAATCGTGGCGTAAACTCAGGTATGGATCCTTTAAAAGTACTAAAATACCCTTTAAAAAAATCATTGTTTTCATTTTTAATATTAATGAGTTACATGCAAATAATTCATGCTTTTATTTTTTTATTTAGGAAAAAATTATTTAAGGGTTTAAAGCTCTTTACAAAATCATTAAAGATGTCAAAACTACTCAATTATTTTATAAGATTTTTTTTTTTTTTCCATTTAACTCAAGTATCTCCTTAAAATATCTTCAAAAAATACCCAAGTTGCCCTCCATAATTTTGCCCACGTAAGAGGCTTCAACCAAATGAAGTAACCCTGCTTGTTTAGGGTAGGTCAAATTACAAAAATTTCCCCACTTGTTATAGCTTCCCAAATACCAATTTGCACACTTCTCAAAAGATTTTTTCATGAGCTAATGAAATAAAAATAAAAAATTTCAGAAAATAAGAAAAATCCTTAGATAAATCTTAGAAATTTAGGAAAAATCTGGAAAATTCCTCAAAAATATTGAATTTTGTAAGGAATTTTCACCCTTTAATTTAGATATATTTTAATAATATTGCAAGGAATTTTCACCCTTCAAAAAGACATTTTCCGTTCTACTTAATAACTCTTATCTTTCTTATTTTGTATACATCTTTTAGGGGATGGCTGCTGAGAGATCTCATGGCATGGCATGTGGTGGATCAACTTTGGGAGGTGGAATGCATTTTGGGGGCTTGTGAAATGCTGCTATCCCTGTGCCTCTTTTCTTTTTTTTTCTTTTCTTTTTCCTTTCTTCATATTATTAAGCCCAGGTCTGAGAAGGAAGATGGGCTGGTTTGTTGGTTCTTCATGTGAACAAATCCTGCCCTCCAATTTAACATTTTAACCTTTTTTTTCTTTTTCTATTTTATCCTTTGAGTGCTCCTTCTCACATGATTCAGCAGTCCCAACTTTATTCTTGTGTAGAAAAACCATGCAATGAAAGTATCTTTATAGTGGAGCTCTCTTTCTATATTGATAAGGTATTAGAATGGCCACTAGATGGCGTAAAGCCCCTTTATTGATTAGGCATGCTACAAAATGTTCTTCCAAATATATCCCCATTGTGTCATAACAAATATTTATATCATTACATGCCACCATCGCATTGTAAGAATATGAGAATAAATAAGAAGGTTCAGCCCCATAATATCTCTCTCGTTCTCGTAGTGTTGTTAAATTCGTTTCGCTTAGGCCGAAAGGCCGACACCCAAACCCAAATGAATCATATCACATGCGATATTTTGGGTATACAGAAATATTTCCATAATAAAGGCCGTCTTAAAATATCTACGATTTTTGTAAAACAGCATGTGTACTTTGTTCTATTTACTCCCTCGAGTGAAAATACTACCTCGGAGGATTTCTGGAATTTGAAATTTGCACTAGGTAAATCTTTTCAAAAAATAAAATTTACATTTTGAGTTTTTTAACGCTTAGATCTGGCGGTCCAAAATTGAACAGTCTACATTCACTTGTCATACTTTAATTTCTTTTCAGGCTCACAGAGTACAGCTGAATTTTTTTATTTTTTTTTTCTTTCTTTGAAGTCAGTCACTAGGTTGAAGAAAATCCGTCCCAAAATTTGGGGTGGTAATAATACCTCTATATTAAAATTTAACTAAGGGAATAAAGGGACAATGTGCTCCTATGGGAGCGTGAAGTCGTTTGAATTTGTAAAATATTATATATATTTAAAAAATTTATCAAAATACACTTAAGATATAAACTAATGAACATTCTACCCATTTCTTTTGATTTAATTTCAAAATCTCGTCAAATTACACGTGATCATGTTAGGAATACTTGAAAATCGGTAAACTGTTAAACTAGTTAAGTATGGTCTATTTTGATAAGCTCCACACATATTTTTTGAAAAGAGGAAATAAATGAAAGCTGCCTAGGTTTATAAACTTTTTAAGGCTTTCTGTTTAGAAAAAATATACAACGAGATCATTTATCTTTGGTATAAGGTGGTCATGATTAATCTTAGTCATTGAAAGTGAAATTTGATGGCTATAACTATTCTATTGACCAAATTTTTTCAAGCTTTGTGACACACCTAAGCTATCATATTTCAAGTCGGATAGTTGTATTGACCTCCTTGTATCAAAAATAAATGGTCTCATTGTATATAATCATTTCTGTTTATATGAAAAATACCGATAAACTTTTCCTAAGATTTTTAATTATCAAATCAACCGGCCACAATAAAGAGAACTTCGAAGCTAATCTAATATCTCTCTATTAATTGAATCAAAATCAAGGTATATATTGGTGTACAAACAAAAAGAAGCCTTGAATGGACAAATCATAAAAATTAATGGAATTTGGAACCAGTGCACATGGGCCTTTTCGTCATCAAGGGTACCCCCGTAATTCTTGAAAAGCAATGACCTTTCGGAAATCTGCCCTTTAAAGCATATTCCTTATGTCACCACTATGAAAAGAAAGGGGTGTAAGGATTCCAAACTTCTCTCTTAATATAATTAATAATACATATAAAACAAATAATTTTATTTATTGAAGACATCATTTTGCTTCCTCTCAAATTAAGTCTTTTCTTACCATTCGGGCATCATGGGCCCCACACTCTTTAATGAAGCGAAGGTTGGGCTTCTAATACAAAGCATGCGCATCAAACTAACACTAATATATTTATCTTAGAATTAGAAGAATAAGATAAGGTGTGTGGTTTATACAAGGTGGCTACCTTATTTGGAGAAGTAACGTGGTAAGGCTATCGGTTTTAGTTGAATATTGTAGATTTGATACGCTATTTGAGACAATATAAAAAAATAATATATATGTTAAGGCAGTATCAAATCCACACAATCTAAATAAAATAAATGGCGTTTGCAACATTACTCCTACAGCTAAGATTGCATCTTATATAAAGTGGATTTTATAGAAAGAGAACATCCCAAATTCTCTAATGTAAAATCAAAGAGTTGGAATTTGTCTTTTTTTGCATTAGGTCTTAAAAGGATTTTCAATGGAAAAAAGTATACAAACAGACTATTTACATTTAGGATTGTATACTATGAGAGTATTTATCATTGTTACAAGAAGGTCACAATCACTCCTAACCTTTAAATGTCAAATTGGATAGCTTCGGGTAATGTCTAGAAGTACAAGAAATTCTTGAACTTTGAGTTTAGTCAACTACAGCTTACAACCACCCGATTTGAAATCTGACAGCAAGAGTTATTGTGATCTCCTTGTATTAAAAACAATTTAAATATGATGGACAGGATTTATTATCATCTGCTTATACAAATAGATTATTTACTTTTAGTATAAAGAAGTCATAATAACATTTCTCCATCATATTTCAAATCGAGTGGTTATGAGTTGTTATTAATTAAACTCAAAGTTCAAAAAAATTCTCGAACTTTGTGACACATCCCAAGCCATCCATAACATCTAATATCTTGGAGCAAGTGCAAACTCTTTGTAACAAAGATAAACGGTCTCATAATATACAATATTTGTTTTATATGGAACAACGAATGACGTGCTCCCAAAAACTCATAATTATGACCTTTTTGTACCAAAATAATGATTTTTATTATTCTTATTATGCACTATCCGAAAAAGGATATTACCTAAATTACTGACAAAGAACAAAACGATTTTTGGGTCAATCTACCCAATAGTTTATGTCTAATATTACAAGCAAATATAGTCTAATCGCCCCCAACTTTTGACTGAAATTCGGCTAAGTTTGAAAACATGGTCTAATTGGTCAGTTGCTCCCAAAAAGAAGATGGGACCTCCCACTAAAAACAAATGAGAGCCAGTCTTCATTTTATCTTCCGAATACCTATAATATCCATTTCAAAAGCAACGGTTTATCGGGGTCCTCTTTATGTCGGGCCAATTTGCCAATCCTTGTAGGGACATAATTCTTCTAGGGTCATGGTTTCAGACCAAGGCAAAAAGTTTGGTGGTATCCCCTTTTTCCATACTGGGACCATGAATCATCTCTCTTTAATGATGTAGTCTCTCTCTCTCTCTCTCTCTCTCTCTCTCTCTCTCTCTCTCGTCTCGTACGTCGTACGTACGTACGTACGTACGTACGTACGTAACGTACGTAACGTACTAACGTACGTACGTAACGTACGTACGTACGTACGTAC